ATATAATTCTAAATTAACACTGAAATATGAATATTAGATGAAAAATAAACTATTTTAAGTAGTTGCCAACTAATTCTGATTTTCATTTAAGTTAAGTTCACGTTGTTGTAAAGTAGTTAAATTGCTAAAACTAAAAATAGTAAAAGCTAAATTAAATTAAAAAATAATAAAATGACAAAAATATATAATAAAATTACTAAAAACTAAAATTAGTAGTAAAACTGAAAATGCATATAAATACTATAAAAGTATATAAATGGTGCTAAAATAACATTAGTGACAATAATGTTAGTGTGCAGGTCCTCTGCTGTTTTTATCAAATGATGATGCTAGTATTGCTTTCTGAACACAGCTCGAGTCTCATATGGCTAATAAAGCAGTGTATCATTGATTAGATCGATATTTAGATTTTTTTGCACCCTCAGATTCCAGATTTTCAAATAGTTGTATCTCAGCCAAATATTGTTCTATCATAACAAACCATACATCAATGGAAAGATTATTTATTCAGCTCTCAGACGATGTATAAATATCAATTTCGAAAAATGGACCCTTATGACTGGTTTTGTGCTCCAGGGTCTATAATTGTGACTCATACAATGTATTGTTGGCTATTGCTACAAATATCCCCCAGCAACTTAACACTGCTTTTGTGCTGCAGGCTCACATATTATAACCTATATATGCACTACCTTTCATTAGCTTTGAGACGGTAAGGTTTTTTAACGCTCACAAAGGCTGCGTTTATTTGATCAATACAGTAAAGCCAATAATATTGTGAAATATTATTACATTTAAAATAGCTGTTTTCTGTGTTATATTTTTTCTGTTTTCTAACCCTAACCCTTCAGAAATCAAATGATGATGCTAGTATTGCTTTCTGAACACAGCTCGAGTCTCATATGGCTAATAAAGCAGTGTATCATTGATTAGATCGTGTAATGAACTGCTTTTTCTCTCACAGCTGCTAGTGGACGTGTGGTAGAGTTGTGTCAGACTCGTGTATCGCTGTCGGTCCGCTCCGAGCAGCTCTCGGCGCTGTGGACGGTGGATTACGCTCTGGAGCTCCTCCTGCTGGGAGGATTGATGCCTGAGGCCTCGTGGATGGCCCTGCGGCTGGGAGACTGGAAGATGGCAGCCGCCCTCGGCCTGGCCTACACCAACTACTGCAGTGGACAGTTCGACATCAGCAGGTTTGTTGTCAGCATGAGTTTGCTGCTCGAGAAACATATCCGATTATTACCACTGTTGAAAACTGCTGAATGTTTTTATGGAAACTGTGATACGTTTTATTTTTCAGGATTCACAGATGAACTAGAGTTGTGTCAGACTCGTGTATCGCTGTCGGTCCGCTCCGAGCAGCTCTCGGCGCTGTGGACGGTGGATTACGCTCTGGAGCTCCTCCTGCTGGGAGGATTGATGCCTGAGGCCTCGTGGATGGCCCTGCGGCTGGGAGACTGGAAGATGGCAGCCGCCCTCGGCCTGGCCTACACCAACTACTGCAGTGGACAGTTCGACATCAGCAGGTTTGTTGTCAGCATGAGGGTCTGGGCCCGGTTGCATGAAAGTCCTTAAGTAATTTGACTTCGGGGTAGAGGTGGAACGGTTCGATTATTACCACTGTTGAAAACTGCTGAATGTTTTTATGGAAACTGTGATACGTTTTATTTTTCAGGATTCACAGATGAACAGAAAAGTTCAAAAGAGCAGCATTTATTTGAAATTGAAATCTTTTGTGACATTATAAATGTCTTCACTGTCACTTTTGATCAATTGAATGCATCCTTGATGAATAAATGTATTTATTTTTAATAGTGATCGCACATTTTGAACAGTAGTGTATTGCTAGATATTACTGTTGTAAATAAGGCTATATGATTGTGGTGTGAGGTCAGTAAGAGATTTCTCCCTGTAGATGAGGGTCCGGTGGGGCGTGAAGCGGCCTGCGCTGTGGTTCAGTCTCTGGGCAGGTTTATGGCTGCGTACTTCACCAACCGGCCGCTGTGCATTCTCCCGCCACACAACATCGACGTGCTGCCGCCTCTTCACTTACCACACGGTGAGCTTACCACAAACAAAACATGAATGTGTACCGTTTCTGTGGTCATTTTTTGGATTGCATGGAGTGTGTAGTATACAGTCAGAGCACACTGCATGAAATGCCGTATCCCATAATGCATTGCATTGCACTTGATCTTTTGTGACTAATGTGACAAATAAACCTGAAATGATTGTATCTATTTCTTGACTTGATCTGGCTCCCAAAATTTCAGGTATTTTTATACAAAGGTGGCTTCAAATGCAAAATATTTGTGACCCTGAACCACAAAACCAGTCATAAGGGTAGATTTTTTTAAAATTGAGGTTTATGCATCATCTGAAAGCTGAATAAATAAGCTCATATTTGACTGAGATGCAACTATTTGAAAATCTGGAATCTGAGGGTGAAAAAAAATCTAAATATTGAGAAAATCATCTTTAAAGTTGTCCAAATGAAGTTCTTAGCAATGCATATTACTAATCAAACATTAAGTTTTGATATATTTACAGTAGGAAATGTACAAAATATCTTCATGGAACATGATCTTTACTTAATATCCTAATGATTTTTGGCATAAAAGAAAAATCTATAATTGTGACCCATACAATGTATTGTTGTTAAATTAAAAAATAATAAAATGACAAAAATATATAATAAAATTACTAAAAACTAAAATTAGTAGTAAAACTGAAAATGCATATAAATACTATAAAAGTATATAAATGGTGCTAAAATAACATTAGTGACAATAATGTTAGTGTGCAGGTCCTCTGCTGTTTTTATCAAATGATGATGCTAGTATTGCTTTCTGAACACAGCTCGAGTCTCATATGGCTAATAAAGCAGTGTATCATTGATTAGATCGTGTAATGAACTGCTTTTTCTCTCACAGCTGCTAGTGGACGTGTGGTAGAGTTGTGTCAGACTCGTGTATCGCTGTCGGTCCGCTCCGAGCAGCTCTCGGCGCTGTGGACGGTGGATTACGCTCTGGAGCTCCTCCTGCTGGGAGGATTGATGCCTGAGGCCTCGTGGATGGCCCTGCGGCTGGGAGACTGGAAGATGGCAGCCGCCCTCGGCCTGGCCTACACCAACTACTGCAGTGGACAGTTCGACATCAGCAGGTTTGTTGTCAGCATGAGGGTCTGGGCCCGGTTGCATGAAAGTCCTTAAGTAATTTGACTTCGGGGTAGAGGTGGAACGGTTTGCGGAAACAAATCGAACCGTACGGTTCTCCACACACAGTTCGGCACGCACTAGGACCGCGGTTCAATTTAAAGGGGTCATATGTAACACTCCTTTCTCTTTGGAGTGTTACAAGCTCTTGGTGCATAAAGAAGATCTGTAAAGTTGCAAAGACTAAAGTCTCAAATGTTCTTTATAAAAGTGTAGAGTGTAGAGTAGCGCTTGTTGTTTGTAATTTCTCCGATCACAAATGCAGACATGGTTTTATGTTTACGCGGCACAATGCAGCGTGTAAAAAGACAGAATAAGTCATTATAATCAGTAATTATGTCCCCACTGGATGCAACAAATGTCTCGTTTATAATGGGTTTTATTGGTTTTGTCTCGTCACTCCGGCCGGACAGGGCATCACAGTATGTGAGGGGCGTAACATTTCCGTCACACGCTTGAGGTATTCGGCCAATCACAACGCACTGGATAAACAACAGCGATGAAAAAAAAAAAATGTGGACAAACCAATTCACTCTTGTTCAATGCGACTGCCGTATGCTGGAATATGAGCAGTCATTTATTCCGTTATCACCCGGGAGCTAATAGCACGCGCACAGGTGAGACCTGAACAGCACACGTTGATATCTGTGTTTAAACTAAACTCATGTCAGCTTTGCCAGTTTAAAATTTAAGAGCCAGAGGATGCGAGCTCGCGTGCGCAGTGAGAAGATTTGTGTGTGCGCTCATCCGAAGCACGCAAACCCGTAAATATTAAGCTCTCTCTGAAGTATTGTGTTTAAATGGACAAATTCACACAAAAGTTATGTCAAAAGGCCCGTGTTGGTAAGTATCCTATAGCAGACATAACCGGCTGAACATACTTTCTTAATATTAATCGAACAGCAACAACAAAGAAATCACTCACTTCTCTTGATTGAATAGCTTTTGTAACTTTAATAAAGATTAATCTTTAATTTATACAGTCAAACATGCAAAGCTGTTTTACATTTCATTACTTTATTCAATTTCTGTACCTGAAAACTAATGTTAGACCTACCTGAAAAAACCTGAAAATCACTGTTTATTTTATTTGTATCTTTACTCTTTTGTATTTATTTGTGCTGTTGCTTGTAGTTAGATTATTCATATTTTCTTTATTTTTATTTGACAGTATAGTTTTTCCCTAAACATAGCACGTACTATGCGTTTCACGGACTAGTGTTTCACGTGTTTCTGGCAACATACGGCAATAGACGCCGCGATTACTATAGTTACTACATCTCACAATAAACAGATATGTATACATATCTATGACAATAAACAGAACATAATGCAATACAAACCTAACCAACTAAAAACAGACAAACATAAAAAAAACATGAGCTTTTTGTTTCTGTAGTGAAAGCGCCCCCTGCTGACCAATGACGGAACATTTCCCAAATGTGAAAATGAACCCATGTTTTGACGCTGCAAACACACAGAGTTGTAAATGTGAACAGGTGGACCGACAAGATAGTGCATTATAAAAATCTAAACAATTAAGGCAAATTATATTTATATTGTTATTTAATTAATGTAATAATTGATTAATAATAACTATTGTTTAAATTGATATCATAATTGATACAAATGTATATAAAACTTTTTGTTTTGTGAAAAGTCATGCTTTTTACGGTCATTTTACAGTTTAATATGTTACCATAGTCATTGCCCTACTGCGCTCATATGATATTTTATTTGTGCATTGTCTTAAGTCTTACATTTGAGTTTAAAAATCCTGCAGATACTGAGTTTAAGATGACTTAAGGGAGCTCTTTTGGTCCCTTACGTTTATTAAGGTGAAATGGTTACTAAGGACTTTGTAGCAACACTTAAATAATTAAGGGGGTGCTTAATGGCAGCCTTAAGGCTCCTTAAGTTGACCCTTCTTGCAACCCAAGTTTCACTAAGGGCTCCCTTAACTTTATAACTCAGGGATTTCTTAGCATAAGGGCTTTCATGCAACCGGCCCTGCTACATTGTCGCTTCAGATGCTGCAGTGATGTTTTCATATCTCTCACTTTTCGGTCCTCCAGCCTGCGTTGGAGAGAGCTGCAGCTTTCCACCGAGCTGAAGCCTGCAGAGATATTCCAGGATCAGCTGGAGATGCTACTGGGCCGAATGGCTGGGTCTGAAGGAGATGCTAACACAGGTGAAAATGCGGTATTTATAATCGGGGGTAAATTATGAGATCTAGACCCTATAATTGAATCAGAACATAAGATTTAGCACAGTTTGAATTCTGCACATTACACGAGGAACATCTCCAGGCATCTCAGGAGCTACTAAAGTTAGTTAGGGAGCCTGTTTTCACCTTTACTAGGTTCCATTAACATCAGAGTTGCACGGTTCATAAACAAAACTTGAGTACTGTTATTATCACATTATAGTGTTATACATCACAACCTTTTCTTTTAATTTTCTTTTCAGGAATTAAGTTTGGTGATGTTAGATTGTATCCTTAGCTGACTTACTGAAATGTCGGTAAAAACGCTTCCTGAAAGTCATTTTAGAATTCACTCACACTGTATATAATACAATATAATAATAATATAATATAATATAACTACAGCTAATATGCTGTTTGTTTGTTGCTCCTTTAGGCACAGTGGGTGTTGAGGACGTGGATCTGGTTCAGGTCTCTGTGCAGGAGATCCTGAAGGCATCTGTCATGGCGGAGGTGGACGTCATCTCTCAGCCTCTAACACGACTTCTGGACGCAGCCAAAGAGCGAGCGATGTCACTTCCTGCTCTGGTTCCTCCTGCGTTCTACCTGCCTGCTCCTCCTCTGTACTGTCCACAGCCTTCACCGAACACACAGGTGGATCACACACAAGCCCGGTTTCCATCCTAAGTTGCGAATTTAACTTATGTGCAAAATTGGAATATTGCATAAAACATTTGCAACCGTGTCGGAGAACAAAATCGTCACTTCCTGATAAACTGGCACTATATATCACTAAGAAAAGTAGGAGAAGCCACTGAATATAATAATTCTCAAATATAATAAACGACTTGCGCTTCGAGTGAGCAGACGAAACACAATAAATGCGCTCTTGCTTTTTGAGGTGAATGGCTGCTGTTTGGGAACGCAGTCGGGGTAGAGGCGTTATACAGAAATACTTTGATGACAGACTTTGGCTAGGCCATGACAACAGTTCAGATGCTGTGCAACAAAATCGGTCCGCTGGTTAGTAAGATTTTGCCGTCCCATAGCGCAAAGACACATGTATCTTTTGAATGCTCATGCGGGATTTATTTGCAAAATGCATTATTATCCCATTATTCGCATTAACCATTTATCACAAGTCAAAAACCACCTCAAGCGAGCGTAAAAACTTTTTTGCGAATTAAAATATAATAAATTACTTGCGCTTCGAGTGAGCAGACGAAACACAATAAATGCGCTCTTGCTTTTTGAGGTGAATGCCTGCTGTTTGGGAACGCAGTCGGGGTAGAGGCGTTATACAGAAATACTTTGATGACAGACTTTGCTCGGCCATGACAACAGTTCAGATGCTGTGCAACAAAATCGGTCCGCTGGTTAGTCAGATTTTGCCGTCCCATAGCGCAAAGACACATGTATCTTTTGAATGCTCATGCGGGATTTATTTGCAAAATGCATTATTATCCCATTATTCGCATTAACCATTTATCACAAGTCAAAAACCACCTCAAGCGAGCGTAAAAACTTTTTTGCGAATTAACCCTTTAACTGTCACCCATCCCCTCTGTGGGACGCCTAAATTTACTTCACTATATTACAATTAAATCCTAATCTAATCATGACAAACTATATATCGTTGGAAAGGTCTAAGACTCCTAAATATTGTTTTACAAAAACATTGGTAAAATATCTATGTAGGAAAAGTAATAGATTAATTTATGACAAGAGTGCACCTCAAAAATCTACATCATAACAGGAGTTCTGAGCTTTGTCAAAAAAAGTCTTCTTCGTTGCCTTTTTCTCTTTCACACTTTAGAAATCATCAGCAATTATATATCGATTGAAAACTTTAAATCTCAAAATTCATCCTTTGAAACCCATTTTAAAATCAAACATTGCATTACCATGAAAATGGTACATCAATATCATGTTACAAAATTGTTCCGTTCATGAATTATACAAATGTAAGTTTGGATCGTGCACTTTCACGTCTATGTTCAAAAATGTGAGTGACAGTTAAAGGGTTAAGGGATTTCTTTTAGAAATTTGGTGTTTCCATCACTCGTTTCTGATGTGATACTTCAAAATGCGCATAAAAAGAGGGTGATGGAAACATAACTACAGAGACGCCCGACCGTCACGTCTGTCCCTGTGGCGTCTTATCTTATCTTCAGCTGTGTGTCCATCTCCTCAGGACTCTGTGAGTGATGCAGCTCTGGTTCTGGAGAGGGAGTCTCGCTGCCAGGTTTCTGGGCTGGTTCAGAAGGTTCTGATGCTCTTCAGAGCGGCACACAGCTCTCGGCCCGCGGCGCAGTGGTACATCAGCAACCTGCATCGCTGCAAACACCTACTGCACAAGGTGTGTTTCCCATGTGTCCACCTCACAATTACTTACCTAATTACCCAGCAGTTACTTGGACATGTACCGTTATAATGTCTCTGTATTCTCTGGGTGTCAGTAACCTTTATCTAACCAGGTTAAATGTAAAGGTTGCTTACTAACTAGCTATGTTAGCAGTTACTTGGACATGTACCGTTATAATGTTAGTTAGTTACTGTCACATTCCGAGTTTGTTTGTACTTGTTTATTCTGTTTTTGATCTGTTTTCTTGTCTTGTTTTCTAGTTTGATAATTAGTTCATGCTCTCCTTTGTTCCTTGCCTATGGTTACTAATTGATTGGGTACTCTGTTCAGGTGCTGCTTGTTTAGTTCTGTTTGTTTGGTTGCTCTAAGTCCTCAGGTTTTCCCTAGTCTTTGTCTGGTATTGAGGGTCTTAGTTTGATTGTAGCGTCTGAGTATTTCTCTAACACTTGTATTTTTCTAAAAGTATATTTCTAAAGTACCTGTGATTTATGCATGTTCTTCGTCGAGCGCCTATCTCTACACTACATCCGTGACAGTAACCTTTATCTAACCAGGTTAAATATAAAGGTTATTTACTAACTAGCTAACTAACTAACCAACCAACCAATCAGCTAGCAAATTAACATATTAGTAGGTTTTTGGACAAGTACCATTGTAATGTCTTAGAATTCTTTGGGAGTTAGTAACTTTGATTTTAACCAAATTAAAATAAATGTTACTAACTGTCTAACTAACTAACCAACATATTAGCAGTTACTTGGAAATATGCTGTTACATAATGCCTTAGTATTGTTTGGGAGTATGTTACCTTTATCTAGCCAGGTCAAATATAAAGGTTACTAACTAACCAACAATCAAGTACCATTGTAATGTCTTAGAATTCTTTGGGAGCTAGTTAGTACTGTTTGGATTTAGTACTAGTTAGTACTAGTTTGGATGTTGTTTTAAGAATCTTACTGATACTCTCTGTTGGTAGATCCAGAAGAAAGAGTCCAAACACTTTTGTCCAAAAATGAGTTAACGTTTATTTATTCAGGCTAAAATAAAGGTTACTAACTATCTAACTACCTAACATGTTAGCAGTTACTTGGACATGTACCATTATAATGTCTTAGTATTGTTTGGGAGTTAGTAAACGTTAGTAAACAACCAGGTTAAATATAAAGGTTACTAATTAAATAAACAACTCACCAGCTAACTAACTATTTTTTTTTACTTGGGGAAAAGTACCATTGGAATGTCTTAGAATTCCTATTTGGATTTAGTGCTAGTTAGTAGTAGTTTGGATATTTTTTTAAGGATCGCATTGATATTTTCTGTTGGTAGATCTGGAAGAAAGCGTCTGAACCCAAAGCAGAATTGGTTCCTGATGGACTGAGGAAATTCTCCACTCATCGTGGGTTCTTCCAATCAGGGCCCAGCAAAGACATGGATAGTGTCACTACGCAAATCATAAGTATGCTTACTCTATTTAGCTGTCAGGACTTTTAGTTATTGGTGTCTATGTGAAGCTCCATGTATTTATATGATTTTCTGACTTTGTTCAGTATGTTTCCGTGAGTTGTGTGCACTTTGCTGGATGCTGCATGTGAGGGACCAGCTCAGCATTTCCTGCAGAAGGTACCAGGCTGCAAGGCAACAGGAGAAAGACACTCAGGTGCGTTTAAGGAATGAATGTATGAGTATCTCTGAGATGCCAGGTGGGTCAATCCATGTTTTTGTCTCTCAGGTCAGTGACGCGAGTGTGTCAGATCTATGCGTTGAGGCTCTGTGTTGGGCACGCCGCCTCGTGCCGTTCTGCCATTTCGTTTTTTTTACTTATTTTTTTCTGGGAAAAGTACCATTGGAATGTCTTAGAATTCCTATTTGGATTTAGTGCTAGTTAGTAGTAGTTTGGATATATTTTTTTAAGAATCTCATTGATATTTTCTGTTGGTAGATCTGGAAGAAAGCGTCTGAACCCAAAGCAGAATTGGTTCCTGATGGACTGAGGAAATTCTCCACTCATCGTGGGTTCTTCCAATCAGGGCCCAGCAAAGACATGGATGGTGTCACTACACAAATCATAAGTATGCTTACTCTATTTAGCTGTCAGAACTTTTAGTTAGTGCTGTCTATGTGAAGCTCCATGTGTTTATATGATTTTCTGACTTTGTTCAGTATGTTTCCGTGAGTTGTGTGCACTTTGCTGGATGCTGCATGTGAGGGACCAGCTCAGCATGTCCTGCAGAAGGTACCAGGCTGCAAGGCAACAGGAGAAAGACACTCAGGTGCGTTTAAGGAATGAATGTATGAGTATCTCTGAGATGCCAGGTGGGTCAATCCATGTTTTTGTCTCTCAGGTCAGTGACGCGAGTGTGTCAGATCTATGCGTTGAGGCTCTGTGTTGGGCACGCCGCCTCGTGCCGTTCTGCCATTTCCTGAACGCAGAGGAAGCCCTGCAGGACTTAGTGCTCAGCCTGGTGTCTGAACTGCCGCCCAGTCGTGTGGTAATATACATCACAGTGTTTCCCATACATTCATTTACTTGTGGCAGCCCGCCACAATATCCACATTGACCACCACAAATATCCACCGTCCCCTGTCATCAGCTCCCGCGTCTCACTCACACGAGCGCGATATTAGCACTATATTTAGCAATATATTTTTCACCCCCCCGTCTCTTAATGCATGGTTTTTCTCTTCTTGAGCATCAGTAAGCGTTTGAAGCTTCTGTAATAGTTGCATATGAGTCCCTCAGCTGTCCTCAGTGTGAAAAGATGCATCTCAAAATCATAGAGTCACTGTTGGAAAGGGTTCAAATACACAGAAATGCTGGAAAACCAAAGAATTTGTGGGAGCTGAAGGATTTTTCTGAAGAACAGCAGGCAGTTTAACTGTTCAGGAAAAACAAGGGACTCATGAACAACTATCACTAAACACAAAAACACAGCTGTGGATCATTCAGGTAACAACACAGTATTAAGAATCAATTGGATGTAATGTCTTAGTATGTTTTGGGAGTTCGCAAGTTAGTTGGTTAGGAATCTTTATTTTTAACCTGGTTGATTAAAGTTTACCAACTAACTAACTTGCAAACAATACTAAGGCATTATGACGGTCCAAAAATCAATTGTATAAATATCAGTCTAATCAAAATGATCCTATCTGATCCATCAGTGTACCATTACAGTACATCTTTGTAGCCCCTCAGCTGTCTAGTTATTCCAAGCTTGTGTTTCATTTCCTGTGTTTAGACGGCAGAAACTCTAGCAAAAGTGTTTCCTGATGAGACCGAGTCTGTTCGCGTGCCGCTGCGGGATAAGTACACGTCGCTGGTGCAGAGACTGAGACCCATGATAGTGCCAGACACCTTGACACCAGGCAAGAGCTGCTTTAAGGAATATCTCACCCAGAATGATGGCTCTTTCCTTTGTTGGGAAAGCAGAGCATCTGGTCACTGCTTCAGCCCCTAAGCAGATGTGCTCATGTTCACAGATGTGCCGCCAGGAAGCGATAGGGAAGATGAGGGTGGTGATACCATGATGATTCTGATCCAGGATCAGCTGAGGCAGCGACGCCGGGAGCTTCGGCGCCTGGCAAAGTACCTGGGCGCACCGGAGCCATACCTGTGGGAGAGAGAGGAGGAGGAGGACAGGGGAGGTGCTGCCTCCATACTGAAGCGCCTCTCTCTCGGGACTAGTTTGAGTGACAGCACGCTGACGGACTGTGGACGCCCCCTAGTGTACAGTGAAGGAGACACAGCCGAGACGCTGTCGGAGCCTCTTTCCCCAGAGCTGCAGACCAAATCTGCACACAGGTAACTCTGATAGTGTACTGCATACTGTATACTTATTTTTGTGCAAATATTATGTGAAACAGTATGCATGTGTTGTATACTGCACATTTGGGCAAATGTAGCAGGTCATCCACATTGTAAAAATATTTTTTTGTAAACGAAACAAAGATTATTGAAGTACATTTTACAAGAAAATACTATTTCAGTCTTTCTACTTCAAAATTTCAAGTTTAATTCAATGCGTTACTTGCCGTTTCTTTGTAATTATTTATGACGGTTTCTGAGTGAAAATTGTTTCAAAGTAAATCCTGTACAAAATGTTTTAATAAACTTATTAGTAGTTTTTTTTAAATATTTAGTGTTTAGAATTCTTGAAGAGTTAGTTAGTAACCTTTATTTAACCAGGTTAAAAACAAAGGCTACTAACTAACTAAATTGTTAGTAGTTTTTTAGGACGTTTTTTAGTTTTTTAACCTTGATTTCACCAGGTTAAAAGTAAAGATCTGTCTAATTGACAATATCTAATAAACATTATTACTAGGCAATTTACAATGTTACATGTTTCGGACATGTACCAGTGTAATGTTTTAGTATTCTTTGAAATTTTGTTAGTAACCTTTATTTAACCAGGTCAAAATATAGGTTACTAACTAACTTGTTCGTTTTTTTGGACATGTACCATTGTTATTTATTTTATTTTTTTTGGTAGTTAGTCAGTAACATTTATTTAACTAGGTTAAAATAAAGGTTACTAACTAACTAAATATTTAAATAACTAACATGTTAGTAGTGTTCTGCACATGTACCATTATAATGTTTTAGTTTTTGTTTGAGAGTTAGTAAGTAACCATTATTTAACCAGGTTAAAATATAGGTTACTAACTAACATGTTAGTAGTTTTTTGGACTTGTACCATTGTAATATTTTACAATTATTTGGTAGTTAGTTAGTAACATTTATTTAACTAGGTTAAAATAATGGTTACTAACTAACTGATCGACTAACTAACTAACTAACTAACATGTTAGTTGTTTTTTTTAGTGTAATATTTTAGTATTATTTGGGAGTTAGTTAGTAACCTTTATTTTAACCAGGCTAAAATAAAGGTTTCTAACTAAATAAATAATTAAATAACTAACTAACATGTTAGTAGTCTTCTGCACATGTACCATTGTAATGTTTTTTTGTGTTTTTTGAGAGTTAGTAACCTTTATTTAACCAGGTTATAATAAAAGTAACTAACTAACATGTTAGTAGTTTTTTGGACTTGTTGTAATATTTTAGTATTCTTTGGGAGTTAGTAACCTTTATTTAAACAGGTTATAAAGGTTACTATCTAACTAACATATTAGCAGTTTCTTGTTTATGGTTCTTAGTATTCTTTGGGAGTTGGTAACCAGGTTAAAAATAAAGATTACTATCTGTATAACTAACATTATATAATACACACAGTAGTTTTCTGGACATGTACTATTGTAATATTTTAGTATTCTTTTGGAGTTATTTAGTAACCTTTATTTAACCAGGTAGATTTTTTTTCAGTGCAAGTATTTTGTACTGAACATATCAAATTTATGTTCTATTCCCGGTATGCATAGTGCATACTTCAAACATAGTTTGAGTAGTAGGCCATTCTGAACTTGTTTTGAATGGCTTGAGCTAATTAATGTGTGAATATGGTAAACTTACGGTAAACTCTTTCTTGTGTTTGTAGTTCTAAGACAGCGACATTTCTGGATGCACCTGAGAAATCAACACAAGAAAGAAAAGGAGATAAAAGATCAGGCACAGTGGAACCCAAAGCACCAGACTCGACTGTACCCGCAGTGGGAACCTGGGAGTTTGAGCTGGAGGATGAGGAGTACACGCTCTTTCTAGATTTGTTCCTCAGCTACATGCTGGGAAAAGACAGACTGGACGCTGAGGGGTCCGAGCTGCCTTTACTGAGTGCTTTCTCACAACAGCTCCGTACTAGAGAGCTGCACTCGGTGACCTTTGACATGCTGACCACTCTCAAACGCCGTCAGAAGGATCGGAAACGAAGTGCGCAGTTACCACTCTTCCATGCCGGTCACTGCTTCCAAACTCTCCCGGCTACTCCCAGACCTCCAGACCTTCAGTCCGACATTCATTCTACGTCCCCTTGGGCTCTTCCTGGACTCCATACTGGGAAACATCAAGGTCTTTTTGCCCTTCGTCGACATGCTGCCTTAATGTCCAAAGACGTTAAAGTAAATTCGATTGGCACAGACGTCGAGTCAACAGGCTTTAAGATCCTCTCTCAGGCTGAATTAGATGTTCAGATGGAGCTGGACTCCTCTCTCGAGGCCCGGTTTCCTCAGCTGGCCCGGCTGCTGGAGTGGATGATGCGCTGGGCCGACAGGCGGGTTCTGCTCTCTCAGCCAATCAGAAAGACCTCAGAGGGCTCCGGTGATTCGGTGGTCATCAGGGTCAACGCCTCGACCCCTGCAGTGCTGACAGCGCTGGAGCTGCTAAAGCGTAGGTACAGCGCCGCCCTGCTGGGAGAAAACTCAAATCACTCCCATACTGCGGTAAGGATGCATTTTGAGATGTAGTGATTTAAATGAAGCTGTTATTCCATATTCTCACAAATTCAGAACAGATGGGGTGTCACGTGCCTGTTTAAATTTTAATGGGTCAGCAGTGTCAGTGCAAAGTCATTCAAAGACAAAAACTATTTGAAAATGGTAGAAGCGTAAGACAGGTTAGTCTGGTTGCAAAGTTTTAATAAATAAATCAATTTTTATTTTAAAAATTTACTTTTTTTAAGTTTTACAAATAAGTAAATAAAAATAAAGATAAATCAATAAAATAATAATAATTATTAATAATAATTAATGTGAATAAATATTTTTTTTTATTTGTATTTTCGTGTTATTTTTATTTTTGTCAGTATTTTATGTATGTGTGTGTGTGTGTGTGTGTGT